AAGGCAATCTTTTCCATCCTTGTGTAATTAACTTTCCTATTTTGCAATGCCCTACTAGTGTAGTATATTGGTATCTGGGTTCATTCTTCTTTTGAACCAGTGCTACAACAATAGTTTCCTTTGACGCAACCAAGTAAATATTGAGGAAGCTCACCAGGGATAGGGTGGTGAGTAAAGGTGAGTGAATATACTACTTGAGTTCTTTGAAGGCCTTCTGACACTAGTCATCCTATTTGAACTTAATGGTACTTTGAAAGACTTTAAAAAATTGTAACCAATTGTCAACCCACTTAGACACAAATCTTTTAAGAGTTACCACTCACCCTATGTGTTTTTACATTTCCTCGGTGGTTCTTAAGGGCTTTATGTCTATGATGCCTATGACCTTTTTAAGGTTGGCCTCGATATCCTTGTTAAAGACCATAAAACTCAACAACTTCTCTGCTTTTATGTCAAAGGTACACTTTTATAGGGTTTACCTTCATATTATAATGATGAATGATAGAAATGACATATGTTAGGTCTTGTACATGCTATTCTAGGGGAGGGCTTTTTCACCAACATATCATCCACATAAATTTCTAGGAAGCACCTAATCTAATCATTGAATATTTTATTGATGAGTCAATAGTATATGGCCTTTGTATTTTTAAGCCTAAAAAGCATGACTATGTAACAAAATAGACCATCTTTAGTTGTAAAAAAGGTTTTCCCTTGGTCTACCAGGCTAACTTAATTTGATTATAGCCTGAAAAGTCATCCATGAAACTTAAAAATTTGTGAATTGCAAATGAGTCAAATATCTATCAATAGAGGGCAAAGGATAACTATCTTTTGGGCAGGTTTTGTTCAAATTTGTGAAGCCTACATACATGCACCACTTTTCATTAGCCTTTTTCACCAATATCACATTGGCCAACCATTCTGGATACTTCACTTCTCTAATATACCTTGCTGCCAATAACTTGTCCACTTTTTTTTATTGCCTTAATGTGTCTAAGGGTAAAATGCCTTTTTTTTTACTTGACTTTCTTGGTTGTTAGGAGTATACTCAAATAATGGGTAATAGCATGCTTATCAATGCCTACAATGTTAACAGCAGACCAAGCAAAGACATCTATGTTTTTCTGTAAAAATCGATGTAACACATTTTTGGCTTTAGGGTCTAATAAAAAACTTGTCTAAATAATGAGTTCTAAGTTAGGGATACAATTATATTGGTATTGTATGCTTGACAGGGCGAGCTTTACACTACCTTGGTTTGTCGTATGTGTCCAGGCTATCAATGTTGAAGGTTTGTGCTAGGGTAAGATTGATAACATGTATTAATTAGAATGATGTGGGTTACTCTTCAATCTATTCTTTTAGGGGTTGCTAAAGGGTCTAGGGTTAGTTTTTTACCTAGTTTCGCCTTTTATGTTAACTATAAGAAAAGTAGACGGCATTGGTGGGTGGTTACTTGCTTAGTTTGCATGAACCTTATTCAAATAAAGGTGGAAAACTTAATTTTAAAGGTGTAAACGTTGGTGACCATCTTCATATTTTTCATCAAAGGCTTGCCAAAAATGACATTATATTCCAACAGTTGATCTATTATAAGGAAGTTTGCCATCACTATTAGAGTATGCTCCCTATCCCTAGTGGTGACTGGTATAGTGATAAGCCTTTTAACCACAATAGGTTGGTTGGCAAAGCTGAAAAGCCCTAATGGTTGCAAATCATTATTCAAAAGTTACATATATTTAAAAGCTTGATATTAGATTAGGTCCACTACACTCCTACTGTATACTAAAATTCTTTGCACCTGAAAGTTGGCAATAATTGCTGATAACATAATGGGGTTATTGCCATTGTCTACCAAGATATCATTGTCATCCTTAGAAAATGCCACCTATCAGTTATCTGTCTTTCACTTTTCAAGGGCCACATCAATGGACATTACATCATTTAGGTGTGACTTGCGTTTGGATTTATTGTTCTTCCAATCTTCTTTCGCACCTACAATGACGTAAATTATTCCTAGATAAGGCATTTTTCAACATTTTTCATTTAGCAAATTTTTTCTGTTTGTGCTGAGAAACCTTCACTCTGTTAAAGGGCGAATAAGTGGATTTCTTGGCATTTTTGGCATTCAAAAAAGTAACCTAGCTAATTATTAATGAGGCTTTTCAATTTTTCAATATCTTTTTGAAGGGCAATACACTTTTCAGTAGAGTGTCTTCTCATTGAGTGATAGTTACAGTGTCATTTGGAGAGGGTTGGTTATTTAGTCTTCTAGTCAGTGGCTTAGCATGGGGTTTTTGGTTGGGTCTTTGGGTAAGTCATTGGGGGAAGGCATTTAAGGTTTAATTGGTAGTTTAGTAATAGTTGGGCTATGGCTAAGGACTTCAATTAGTGTTAGGTTACCATTCTCTTCTTTTGAGGGCTAGTTTTGGAACTGACAATTGTCATGGAACTGTTGACTATGAGTTTTTATCCACTTATTATCATTTTGAGAACGTTAAGGGCACTGTTCATGCTTATCACCTTTGTTTGCAACCTTGAGCTCTTTAGCTTTAACAAATTTTTAAGCTCTCTTATAAAGCTAACATAGTTGCTCAAGTTTGTTCTTTGTGAGAGAATACCTAAGATGATCATGTTTTACCCTAGAGGTGAATGCCTTAATGGCCCACTTAATGTCTAAGTCTTTGATATCCAAGATTGCCATGTTAAACTTTTTAAGGTACTATCATAAGGTTTCATCAAGTTTTTACCTCATGGCCAAGAAGCTCACAAAGGAGCAAACTATGGCCCTATTACTAAGGAAATGGGCTAGAAACTTACTAAGCATATCGAAGCTACCAATGGTCACAAGGCCATCAAGTAAAACCACATACAGCTTTACCCTTCAACATTGTAGGGAAAATTCTACACTTGACAACTCTGAGATGCTATGGAGGCCCATAAAGGTCCTGAAGTGGTTCAGGTGATCTTTGGGGTTGATGGTTCCATTGTAGGTTTCTTTGTATAATTTTAAAAAGGTAGGAATGTCATCTTGTTTGATGAGGGCAGACAGGTGGTTGTTGTCATCTTCTAACCACTGTAAGTATTTATTATTTTCATTTTTTTATGTTGGCCAGCTCTTTATGAAGAGCAGCGACATGTGCTTCAAGTTCATTCTCAAGGTTAGGATTAGTGAGGGTTTGGTTTTATGTTGTATGTTTAGAAGAGTAATTGTTGTCTTAGGGTGGTTTGGGGTAGCTTTCAACATGTTGTCGAAGGGTTTGTGGTGGCTCTTGGAAGGAAGAGGTAGAGCTTTCTTTAGGGTGTGGTTTTTCTTATGGTGGTTGTTGGGTGGTTTATTGGTAGTGCTAGAGTTGTCTTTGCTAGGTGGCCATTTAAGCATTTAAAAGCTGGATATGGATCATTAATGCAAGGTAAAACTCTAGGGGATGTTGTTGCATGTTTGTTTGGTATATAGGGCTCTATAGGGTTGGTAGTGTAAGTTGCATTGTGGATGTGAGAAATAAATGTTTTGCTAATGAGCTGCATTTATTAGCTATGAAGATTGTATTTGTTGTAAGGGGTTGTGAAGTTGGATTTAAGGGTCCAATGGTAGAGGTGTTCACCAAATGAGGAGTCAAAGTCATACTTGGGGATAAAACTCCCATTAGACTTTGGCAATATCTTACTAACTATGAGATCTAAGCATTCATTGACATAGGGTTTAGGGTATCATGTCTTACTGACCATGAAGGGAGGTTCATGATGGGATTTATAAGAGAGTTGTGAGCATAGTTGCGACATCAGAGATGGCTACAAGTTTGGTGGTCACATCCATGACTAGGGTTGTTGTTTCAAAAAAGTAAGGGTGAGATATTGTTGTTGTTCCCATAGACAACACCAATTATTGATGGTAGGTTCATGTGAAACTCGAGAAAAGGTCACATGGGTGAATGTAAGTTACATTTAATGATCCTAGGCTAATGTGGGTTGCATTTAATGATCCCAAATAAGTTGAAAGTCAGTCGGTCTATTGTGAAATAATGTCTTAATAGGACGTTACTAGAAATAATTGGATAAGTCCCTCCTTAACGAAGGTGAGCCCACTCTCTGGCAAAGAGTCTAGATGCCAACCCTCTCTTGACATGGCATTAAAGATTGTACTGACTTGGTGATCTTAGGGATTGACCTTGTTGAATGAGTAAATAGTATAACAATTGCTTTGCTTGGATTTTCTAATGCTAGCCCATCTTTCTTTTTTTTTATTTAAAAAAATTGCATTCTAATTCTATGTTTTTATGCACAATACCTTCAATAATGTATTAATATTTCAAAAAGTAAAATAAATTGCTGTGTTATTCTTGTTCACAAATAAAATAAAATAAAATAGTTCAAATTGGAGAGTTGGAGTGACACTTTTGTAGCATCGAGGGATTGCCAAAAGTTAAAACAAGTAAATAGTAGTAGTATGGCAGTAAAATTGGATGAATCCATGTTGAATTCGCCGTTTCCTGGTAGCTGGCAATAGGGAAGTAGCTGGCAATAGGGAAAGTGATCATAAAAGAAAGTGACTGACACGTCCTTGAACAAGAAGGTCAAGATGATTAATGAATCATCACACATTCAACCATTAATCTTTACATTTGTATCTTCTCTACCTTTTTCTAATAAAATAAAATAAATAAAACCCATAAATCTGCATTAATTCATTTCTGACTGGAAGACGTGCCAGCATGTCATTTTTTTTAGGCTTAGATACAAGTATGACATGCAAAACAAATTAATTTTTAATCCTATATACAATTCAAATGAACCACTACTGTTTTTGTTATCATCGTTTATCAAAGCTAGGTAATCTGATCATATGACAGTAAAAAAAACAAAAAATCTATCCCACTCCCAAATCCCAACTTCCACCGAGGCTAAATATTGTTCTTTATAAAACAAACCATGTGGAGAGAGGCTCATAACACAACAACTCTTCTTCATGTGGCTTACTCTCTTCCATCCTGGTGCAAATGTCTCCTTTGCCTGCCCTCTTTTTCCTTGTAATTTTCTTGCTTGCTTCGACTTCATTTCTCTCCCAGATCTGCTCTGCAGCCGATGAGGATGAAGAGTTGGAGGTTGTAGTAGATCCAAATCTCCGGTTTGAGAACCCAAGGCTTCGTGAAGCCTACATTGCTTTGCAAGCTTGGAAGTCTGCCATTTTTTCAGACCCATTTAACTTCACGACCAACTGGAATGGCTCTGATGTCTGCTCTTACATGGGAATCTACTGTGCTCCCTCTCCTTTCAATCCCAAAATCAGAGTTGTCACCGGCATTGACCTTAATCACGCTGACATTGCTGGCTATCTCTCTTCAGAGCTTGGCCTCCTCACCGATCTTGCACTGTTTCACCTTAACTCCAACCGCTTCTGCGGTGTTGTTCCTACCACCTTTCGCCGCATGAAGCTGCCTCATGAGCTTGACTTGAGCATCAATCGTTTTGTAGGCAAGTTCCCCAATGTGGTTTTGTCTCTTCCTTCTCTGAAGTACTTGGATCTTCGGTTCAATGAGTTTGAAGGGTCCGTTCCCTCCAAACTCTTCGACAAGGAACTTGATGCCCTTTTCTTAAACGATAACAGGTTTCGATTTGGTATACCTGAGAATCTCGGAAACTCTCCCGTTTCCGTGCTAGTCTTTGCCAACAACGATCTTGGAGGTTGCATTCCTGGGAGCATTGGGAAGATGGGCAAAACGTTGAATGAAATCATTCTCTTGAACGACAACCTTACTGGATGTTTGCCTCCGCAGATCGGGATGCTTAGGGAACTTACTGTCTTTGATGTGAGTTTCAATCATCTCCAGGGTTCTTTGCCATCCACTATTGGCAACATGAAGAACTTAGAGCAACTGGATGCTGCTCACAACGGCTTCACGGGTGTGATTCCAGCCACTGTGTGCCAGCTACCCAACTTGCAAAACTTTACTTACTCTTTCAATTATTTCACCGAAGAGCCACCAGTTTGCTCTGCAATTCCTGGTGGAGGAAGGGTGACAAATAACACGATGAACTGTATTCCTGGCAAGAAGGACCAGAGATCCTCCAGGGAATGCTCTTCGGATGCTGCTCGCCCTGTGGACTGCAGCAAGTTCAAATGTAGTGGTGGTGGAAGTTCTGGAAGCGGCGGCGGAGGTGGTGGTGGTGGCAGCTCCCCATCGCCGAAAAGAAGGGCTCCTGCTCCAAGGCCTCCAGCGCCGAGTCAATCTAGGTCCCCAAAGCCGTTTCTGAATTCCCCACCACCTTCTTCAGAGTCTTCGCCTTCCACTAGATCACATCCTCCACCACCACCATCATCTCAATCTTCACCACTGCTTCCTTTTCATTCCCCACCATCACCACCACCACCAAATTACTCTCACTTTTCAAATCCACCTCCTACTCAAAGGGTATCACCTAAGACGCATCTTCCGCCGCCAACTCCGCCTGTTCACTACGAGCGCAAACAATCGCCCCCACCTCCACCATTTGAGTATGTTCCCAAGCAATCACCTCCACCACCAATAATACAACCACCTTCATCTACTCCATCCGGCCATTACTACAATACACCACCACCACCAAACCACTACTACAACACACCACCACCAAGCCATTACTTTGATATACCATGCTCACCACCCACGCCACCAACAAAGAATTTATCACCAAGTACCCATTATGCACCACCTCCACCCCCACCGATTCATTATGTTCCCACACCTAGTCAATCCTCGCCGCCTCATCAGGGTCAGTATTCCCCTCCTCCTTATCCATCAAAGGGACAGCCCGTAAGTCCACCTCCACCATCAATGGAGAAACACAGACCTTCACCTCCGCCATCTCATGAGCATCCGGGGACTCAGTCTCCACCTCCACAAGTAGAATATCATCCACCACCCAATGAGCCTTGTCATCCTCTCCCTCCTCCACCACCACCCTCACCAGAATGTAACTCCAGCGTCATCATCACCACCACCACCGCTAAGCCACCATTCAACCCCATCACCATATGCACCAACACCTGGTCATCACTATTCAAAACCATCACCACCTCCTGAACAACAATGGCATCACCGACCGTCCTCACCTCATCCCCCGGCCCCATCAACCCACTATTCATTTTCATCCCCACAACCACCACCTCCTCCTCCTCGTCCACCCTCAAATGAAAACACACCACTTCCACCAATTAAAGGAGTATCTTACGCATCACCTCCTCCCCCGGTTATTCCCTACTACTAATGGAATGTTTTTGCGCGTCATTGAGTTGTAATTCAAATTCTTTTGGTGCTAACATGAGCGGTTAGCATGTTAATCGTTTTTTTTTTTTTTTGTTCAGCCTGAGCACTATTTTTTTAAAAATATATATAATAAATTATCTTTATTTCTTTATTTTGCATTCTCCTGCTAATATATATGTTATACAGAAAATGAGTTGATCATCTTGTGTGTCATTTATAAACTTATATAAGGATTCTATTAGGAATGGCTCGTGAATGATGATGCAGCTTCTCTCACAAGATTCTTTTGTTTTGTTTTTCAGTGTTTTTGCGAGCCAGTCAGGAATACGAAGGAAATAAAATTGCTATGTTATGTTGTGTTTTGTTTGTTTGGTACGTAATAATAGAATTAATAATGTCTGGTAGCGAATTGAAGGCTGACATTTACGGTGTTTGATTGATTTAACATTAGTAATAAATTAAAAGAAGAATTAGATGAAAATCTTTAAAAATAAATTAATGAGGCTTTTAATTAAAAATATTAAATAAAAATTATAATTGAAAATTAAAATCATAAATGAAAAAATTTGTTATATAAATTAATATGAAATTTTTTTTTTAAATTAATAAATTTTGATATATTTATAGATAATTAATTTTTAAAGAAATTTCGTATTACTAAGTAAGTACGAATTATTTTTTTATATATTATTAATATTTTTATTAAATTTTGTCAATTAATGAATTTAAATTCTTTTATTAAAATTTTTATTAAATCATTTATATTAAAAAATTCATCAATTTCATCTGAAATTTTTCATTTAAAATTTTTCATAAATTAGACAGGAGGAGGTGGAGCATTTGATGTTCCTGTTGGTTATAACAAAACAGCAACAAATGAACCGTCCAACAAATCAATTACCGATCAGAATGCATGTGGGGTGGGTCAGCAAAACATGGCTGATGACTCCACGGTCCAGGGCAGATCTGCTTGCGGCGCGGAGGTTTGTTGGGATTTCCGTTTTTTAGTGGGGTTAAAGCAAACACCAGATATGGGATAAATAATTAACTCCCCCAAATCAATAATCACCCAATAGAAATCACTCAGAAGGCAGTGCACTTAGTGTTACAAATGACACACAAAAATTAGTAGAAAGCAATCCTAGAGATTCGTACCCTAACTTATAAAATATTATTTATTTTGATCTAAAAATATCATAATTTTATTTTATAAAATATGATTCATAAATTTAAATTTAAATTTTTAGTTATATATTATAATAAATTTTTAGAATATCTCAACATGAGATTAAAACATCACAAATTCTCTCGTTAAAATTTAATATCCTCGTTAAATATAGTACAAAATATATAAATCCATCGAATGCATCAAATGTTGGGCACAAATCTATTGAATTACACTAAACATTAGGTAAGTCCAATACAAAATATACATAATTATAAAATCACATCAAAATTAAGATTTTATAGATAACTTTATAATATAATATTATTTGTTTTGATCCAAAGGTCTTATAATTTTATCTCACAAAAAATACTTCATAATTTTAGATCTTAAACCTATATTTATATATCAGAATCTCTCAATGTGAGATTGAAATGTCATAAACGCCTTCTGTTAAAACTTTACGTTTATGTTAAACTAAACACAAAACGCACAGATTTATTAAATCACATCAAATGTTAAACAAGCCTAATAGAAAATATACACAACTCACAAGATCACACCAAAAGACTCAAACTTAATACAAAACACATATATCCATCGAATTGCATAAAATGTTAGACAAGCTCAATACAAAACATACACAAATTATAAGATCACACAAGTATTAAGATTTTAGAGATAACTCCCATCGTGGCTTCCATGACACACTACTTAATTCTCATTCGACTGGTAACCGCATAATATCATTTGTGAAAACTCGTACCTAATAATCGTTCTAATATCATTTATGAAAACTCACACCTAACTTAAGAATTATTATCCGTTTTGATCCAAAAATCTTACAATTTTATTTTAAAAAAGGTATTTTACAAATTTAAATTTAAAATTTTATTTATATATTATAACATATATTTAAAATATCGAGATTAAGATATCATAAAAATTTAAAAAAAATAACGTTATCGTACAATTATTGATCTGATCTTACAGGCGGAGGAACAGAAACATATATTTATATATATATATATATATTTTTTTTTTTTTCTGCAACAACTTTATTATTTTGGGCAGGTTTCTCTGTGAGACTCAATTCACTAGTTATTAATGCATTAGAATTCACCTTCACCTTCACCATCCGGGACAGACTATTCAGTCACATTCAAGTTTAGGGACCATTAACCGTTGCCAATTGTGGTACAAGAAGATGATTAAACTAGTTTTAAATAATCCCAAAATTCAGCGGAAAAAATACCAAGCATTCCATTGAGTAAAGTTGGCTGAATACTACTATGTCCCTTCTCATCGATCTTGCAAATCATTCTCTTTTTTTTTTTTTTTTTTTTTTGGGGGGGGGGGGGGGGGGGAGGGAGGAATGCTATATCGTACATGGAATGGTAGTAAATATTTGTATCGTAACTTTATTTCTATCCACATGGTACACACGCCTGATTAGAATCAATCTCTGTTCTACCTTTCACTTTTGCTCTCTCTAGGGACTCACAAGCCTACTCTCACAGTTATGCAGGCACCAATGGTGGAAGGATGACTCTTGCTTATAAAATCACAGTCTACTCCTTAACATTTAGACGTGAAATCGTTCCCCTTCAACAGCTTTTCAAATACATTCACAGGTGTAATGATATAGTATCCTCATTAATTGCAACCAAGCCTCGAGACATCTAAATATATATATGCAAACCTGTTCATAATCATGGATTAATGAGGAAGCTCCCGCTCCCTAGGAACACTAATAATGCACCAAACTTCTACCTCAACTAGCTCAAACATCACTGTGCCTACAAAGAAATCTACCACATACATGAAGCTCTCCAACTCAAAGAGTTCCCCTGTTTACACTTTCCAATGGCAAACCAACCAACAGAAAGTAAAGGAGGAACAATGCCAACTAAAGCATTGGCTTTAGTAGCATCAGCCAAAACGAATTACTATGCATGATATATCATCTTTGCTCTTCCTTGCCAATGCTTCACTTGTTAATCGTTTAGCTGCTGCTTGGGGGTCCTTCATGGATTTCACCAAATTAACTGCCTCTTCATTCTTCATTACCTGCAATCCAAATCAAACTAGTTATTTTTGGATTACTTGTAACAAGAAAGAACACTGACAGTAGCATGCCTCGGCTACTTACAGCAAACATAGAACTAAAGAAACTCTATGCTATTTTCATTGATGCTTATTTACACTGTTAAATCATTTCCCACTAAAATAAGACTGGGCTAGAAAACCAACCAAGAATAGAAAGATAATACCAATTTTTGCAGAGCAGATAAAAAAGACCACCACAGGGCTTCGTTCATGGATGCACATGAAAATCATTTCCCTATTACCAGTCCACATATATGTTAAATGATTCCATCTTTCAAAATGTATTTTATTTACCAGACCATTGTTCCTTAACATATGATAGGATCAATGACTAGATTAGTTGATATATAAATTAGATATCCCAGGGTTCTTTTGAGAGAACCACTTAAACAGCCCCTTCAGCAGAAATGATTCAGTAAGGCCTCTGCGACAGCTGAAATCTTCCTAAGTTCTACCAATTAGCCTATTTGTAGTAGTAATGAACAATGAGTTGAATAAAAAAAGAAAGAAGAAAACCAACCCTTTCATAGCATACTGATTTGTAATCTAGTAAGAGTTAAGGTTGTGTTTGATAAAGTAAAAAATTAGACACTACAAAAGTTTAAGTACAAAATTTTTAATGCTATGATTTAAAATAGATTATTGTCCTATACGGTAGAGTTTTTAAACTACGTAGGCAAGTTTATATAATCAACATGTGTACCATTTATTAATTAACATTAATTACATTAATTTACTAATTTCCCAAGTTATAGCGAAATAAACATGTGGCAACCATGAAAACTTGTTTGTGGAGTCTAAACATCTACCACTGGTGTATAGGATAATTTTCCTTTCTAAACACTGCATATATTATGAAAATGGTTTGATATACAGCTAAAAGTAAACACTAGAATTTCTTTTATGGTTTTTTTTTCTTTGGTAAAGGAGATATAATTGAATGGAGATTCTGTATCTTATAAGTGTTAAATGGGGAGGAAACATAGAGTTAAAAAAGAAAACACTATTAAGATAATAGTTTTGAAATAATATTTACTTAATCTAATAAGTAACTTTTCTCTATTTATCCTTTTTAACATTTTTCTTTTTTCTTTTTTGTTACAAATTGACTTTCATCCCTTTTCATTGAAAATCCTCCATGAAGTTGTCTGCAAAAATGAGTTAACCACTGCATTAAAAGAATTTAAACCACTGACAATTCAAAACTTTAATGAATTCAAAATTATCAACGATTCATCGAACACGACCTTATGGATATTAACAACCAATTTGAGGATATCTAGCTTTTCTCAAATAGATATTAACATTCCCTAACATCAATCAAAAACATCTTAATGCACATTCACCAACAGTTATCGCTAGTCAAGCTTAAGTAAAGAATATCTTAATTACACTAAAAAGACAATTAATGAGAACAAACATAATGCACCATCTGCCTAAGTTCTTGCTATAAGTATTAACAATAACAAATTAGTAAGGTTACAAAATATTGATAAAAGGGCAAATGTATCAAGATATTGACTAATATGTGAATACTTATAAGCCATGAATTATAAAGATGTTATAGATTAATAGCTATATCAAGTTTGGGAAAAATGCAAAGGTCATCAAAACATTGGATCAAGGTTATTATAGAGATTTAAGATCCATGCTTTCTCCTTGATGTATTCAATGTGTTGTGTTTTTTTTTTTTTTTTATAAGACAGTCAAGGGTATCCCCATGCTTTGTCTGGGCTTAATCCCCTTTCCATGCGATTTTAAGGGTGCATTCTCCCACATTGGCCTGGACCATTCATGATTTTAATCCAAGTTGACAAGGAAGGGGGCTCCTCCCTTACCAACTGGATTAACCCTTTTGGGTTCAAATGTGTTGTGTAAGAATTCCCAGTTGCAGTAATTTGGGCGTTAATAATAAATTTAAAAACTTACAATTTTATTACTATTGATGCAAAGGAAATTTTCCATTAGTTTTATCTTACCAACTGGAATAACCCTTGTGGGTTCAAATGTGTTGTGTAAGATTTCCCTGTTGCAGTAATTTGGGCATTAATAATAAATTTCAAACCTTACAATTTTATTACTATTGATGCAAAGGAAGTTTCTATGTTATGTTTTAGTTTTATCATTACAAGGAAAACAAAATTCTCAAGATATGCAATCAAGGACCTTAACAACCATTATGCACACATATTTCTCAAATCAATGGACTCGTCTGATGCAAGAGCATTCCAGAATTCAGCTAAATGGATTATTTTGATATATTTTTGTTAGGTTTATAGTTTCGATTTAGTGAATGGTTAGTAATTATGTTTTTATTTTATTTTGTGATCAATTGACTAGGATGTGATCTCTTAATAAGTATGAATGGGTAGCATTAGATGGGGCCTAGTATCAAAGCTGCTGAACCTAGTACAAGTCTTTTAGTCACATTAGGCAGCCGTATAATATTGAAATTTATCTGTTAATGGTTCTACAACACTAAACCCTAGTTATCTTGTTCCAACTTCAATTTTACATTCATCCATTTTTAGCCTTCATTCTTAGGAGCAGATCCAAGGGAACGGGCAGGGGCCTTGCCCTTCACCCAAATGCCATTGCAAATTCAATGATACACCCTTTTTTTCTGCACACAAAGTGTAATATTCTGCTTTGGGTCCCCCATTGTAATTTGCCCTTATAAAATTTGTACATTAATACAATAAATTTGTAAATGTTTTAGTTTTAAACCCCATTATTAACTTGATTCTCTTTAATTTTTTTTATCTGAACATTATAACATACAATTCTTTTTTTATCTAAACATTATAATATACAATTTTCTATTTCCTTTAAATAAAAAATATTCTTTTCAATCAATATGATAAATATAATGTTTATATTAATTATTCTATCAACTACTTTTACATTTACTTACATATATATCACTCCCCCCTCACAATGAAGAATTTATGGCTTTTATTCTGGTTTGGTATGTCAACAACCAGTGCTGACATTGCACCACCACAAACACAACCAAACCATGTAAAATGTCAAAGGCAAGACCCTAAAATTACCATTACCACTGCGATCAAAGCCACCACCTTAATAGTTATTATTTGCTTATATTGTCAGCATCACAACTATAATTAGTAAAATTACAAACCAGCATAACCACCTCTGGTGTACTCTCTAGTACCAACATCACTGTTGTCACCATCACTATGTCTCCTCACCACGAAAGTGGTATATGACCAACTCATTTCACCACAGTACACTCCATTATAACATATTATACACTTAATAACTGAACTAAATATTTCCGCTAGTACTAAATTTTTAGTTTTAACCAATAATGAGAAGGTAAAAAGGGATTTGGATTACAACCCATGATCCTGGCCAAAACCTCCAGAGTTTACGAGGATAAACCTCAATAGCACATTGAGAGGGTAGATTTGCAAGGTAAAGAATAAAGTCTTCATACTTAGAATCTGTATTTCAGAAAGCCTAGCCATTCAAGCTCATTAAGAGATCACATGCTAGTCACATGACCACTTAATAGAATAAAAAACATGATTACTAATCAATAACTATAAGACTTTTAAACCTAGCACTTGGATAACCCCATCTAATCCTAAACATTCAATCTCATTAAGAGATCAAATGCTAGTCATATGATCACTTAACAAAATAAAAACATAATTACTAACCAATAACAATACTGAAACAATAAACATAAAGGAATACATATCAAGATAAACAATTAGATAACTTCTAGAATTCTCCTGCATCATTCCAACATAAAATCTAAAGTTACATAAAATCTAAAGTTCTAACCGTTGCGGTAGGACCTTAATTCTCTTTTTTTTTTAACAAAGTGAATTTGTACAACTTCTAGACATATCAGATTTATTTATGTGATTAGATTCTTAAGAAACTAGTTTGAACTTGATCATACAACAGTGGTCAAACTCAAAAAATTAAAATAAAGGACAGCAGAAGTTTCTTATTTAAACCAATCAAATATGTATATATAGTCCAATTAAAATTTGGCTAAGTGTTTAAAGCAAGAATTCTTTCAACAAGAGACAAATATGATATCTCTTTTCCATTAGACTTCAGTTAAACTATATATTAAAGTTTTAAATGATGAGATCTGCCTAATTGAAAAATGATGGAGAACAATCTAATCGACGATAGAGAGTGAGTTCACCCAGTCTCAAATTGTTGATGCAATTAACATGCTAAGCTTTAGTATTTGAACTCCTGACCTAAGTTCATGCTAAGCTGAAGCAACAATTTAAATTGTTAAGTCAAACTTAAGCAACTTATTACTTGGAGTAGGTTAGTTATTCAATTGTCCATAGAGAAACTCTTAATATTCTAGAGAATGAAAATTCTCATTCATCTATAGAATTTAGCATATCTCCCTCCATCCCTTCTACAATGTTTAGAGAGAGAGAGAGAGAGAGAGAGAGAGATCAGCCAAATAACGATGCCCTATCATATGCATGCAGTTGAGGAATGTGTCTTGGAATTGGAGACAAGTAACAATAAAGATGACCCACTTCTCTAGTCCTTCTCAGTCCTATCAGGTTACCATCTGTATTATTCACTATTGAGGTTCTTTTAGTAGACAACACTGTGTTTCAATGATAATAAAGTTGCTCATGAGAAAGCATTATCTTAGAGCAAGGTCGTTGACCAGATTTTTAATTTAACTTTTCAAACAGTTACATAAAAGGAATGATTCATGAATGAGTATGACAGGAGATTTCAAGGAACAAATCTCTCAGCATTAAACTACATATAAGTAAGGTCTGTCTGAAATCTGGTGTTCAAATAAACAAACAGAGCAGAACTGAGATCATTAAAAAGCTTTATTAAGGAAAATTCAGATTAAGATATCAGCTATTTCAGCAAGAGGAGCTCTCTCCCTCTTCCTCCTCATCTCTCTATTGCCCAACTCCCACTCATACCCTATAAATTTAAAAACAAAAAAAAAAAAAAAAGAAAGAAAGACCTTAGCAGTTCTACACTGTGAGATAGAAAATTTAAATTTGCAAATCTCAACTAAACTTCCCTAACCTATAAGAGAAAAAGTAATTTCCCTTTCTATACATGTACAATTAAAAAAAACAACAGAAGAAAAGAGATAACCTATTCTTGAGAAAATTCGGATCCTTTACCTAAGAATGCACCAAGCAGAAAGCACTTTCAACATTTCTTTTCAAACATATAGAAATACAGATAGAAAGGTCAGCAGAAAGTATCTCACATTCATTTTTCTTGGGGAAAATTATGGGATGGCTTTTCAAAGGATCAATGCATCAAAATTTTACCACTGGCAAAAGAGTCATGTATATGTGATGTGTGATGGAAAAGAGTTACTTGAGGGATTAAAGTATTGATCATATTATCTTGTAATTTTACTACTTTTTGCGGGATTAATTATAATGTTTATAGAGATAGATATATAGGACTTTTAGATTATGTATTATATTAACTAGAGTATTGCTTATTTTCCAAGTACTAAAGCATTTAGGTGTTGTTAGTGTTTTGTATTTCTATTATGGTTTAAGGTTTAGCTTGCAAATGAGGCCTTCACTTGGTGGCAAGGATGAGGCCCTAGAAACCTGAGGTCCTAGGATCAAGTCCCATGGTATATGGTTTGGTTCAACTTTATATTGGATTTATCTACTCATGTTCTAGTTTGTTTGTTTGTTTGATTATTCAGTGATTTCTCATATATGGATGTAATACTTGATTATGATTGTAACTTCTCTTATACTTGTACTTTCATAAAAAAAAAAAAAAGGTTTAGCTTATAGGCAACTATGCTATCCTATTTTTCAGGAGGTTTTGGATCATCAATTATTGAAATTCTGGGAATATGAAATCATGGAATTGATTCTTCTCCTCTGGTTCTTTTATTTGTTTCACCATTTTCCTCTTCTTTTTGAAACCAGGGATGCAGTCCACCACCCCTCAATATTCCCTGGTTTTTATTTTAAATATGCATCCACCACTTTTGTTCAATAGATAACTTATCATATGTGCAATTACATAAGCCTTAGGGTGCCCCACGCACCAGCCAAAACTGGAGATGCAGTATAGAGATCAAAGAAATAAACTAAAGTGAACAAATGCAATAAACAATAACCTATTTAACAACTGACCTTCCACAATCCATCACTAGCCAGTATTACAAAGTCAATAGTAGAGTCTATGGGGACATGTCTGACATCAGGCTCTGAGCTTAAATGTGCTTTAAGGCTCTGATCTCCAAAAGCCCGTGCAACTGCAAGTTGGCCATTAACCCTGGGCACATCTCCTGAAATAAGAATCTCATTTTCATTATCAAAATATTTTTGTAATTAAACAATCAATATAGATTGATGTAGCCTGCCAATTATATTGATTTGGAATGATCCCGGAGCAGAGAATGATAAATGGAAAAACATAATATTGTATATTACCAGGAAGTGTAGTCACAAAGCCACCCCGCTTCTCTATCCTTCTTCGTTCAGCATGCGGCTCGTGGTCAACTGTAATTTGATTGGCAGAGCCCCTCTCACACACAACTGCTCTTGAGTCACCAATGTTTGCTACCCATAAATCCTTGCCATCAATGACGATCGCAGTTACAGCAGTAGAGCCACCTGGCCCTAATTGCATAGAGTTGTCCAATATCAACTTATCTGTGGAGCGGTATGCATTCCTTATAGCTGATTCAGGGTCTTTCCAGAAATTTGGCTGTATCACATTCACATTTGATAAAGGAAAAACATATTTATGCATGTATTTATCGTCACGGAGGTGCTACGAGATGGTGAATTTAAGTGATTGTAAGAAAAGATCCCATGGAAGACAAGGGAAGTTATGGAAAGAAAAGATACCTCTTCGAGTATGTTGTTGAAAAGGTTGTCTTTCAAATAAGTGGGCACACGATCCCCCAAGTGACCATCAAAGATTGCAAACAATCCAAGGGTATGATTCCTTTTTTTTCTGAATTCAGCAACGTGATAATCTTCCATATCATGGCCTGATTGACCTTCGACTAAGTGGAATCCATGGGACACTTTGTAACTTGATGACTTACTTTTCCCTTTCCCCCCTTGCCCATTGTGTGATGAGGATGACTTGAGGCAAGTAACATTCTACAATCCAAAAATCAATTCACAGGATTGCGAAACCATGCAACAAATAAACCGATGGACGTCTATTTCAAGTTCATATGTATATTACATACAAGTCAATCCAAATCAAAATAATTGAAAAAAACTAAAAGTAAAACATATGAGGAAAAAAAAAAAAAAAAGAGGGACCTTGATCTTGTTGAAAAAGCCAGTTTCTTTAGCACGGCGGGAGGCACCTGCAGCTGATGAATGTTTGCTCATGTCTTCAACTTCAACATATAAAATAGAATACCGGTTTCTTTCTTTATTTCTTTCCTTGATGTGCTGTGTTTGGCTAAATTACCCAATACCCAGAAAACAGAAATTAGGGAAAGGATAAAATGGCCAGTGGAAAAGGGTATTACTATCAGCTTTCAGCCTTCCTATCAGCTCAGGAATGAATACAAACCGAACCAAAACTGTAAAAAACAAATAATAATACTTATTATTAGTTAAAGCTTTACTTGTAATCGTAGAGTACTAGTAATTACCAGTAGCAATTAGGATCAGAAAAAGAGTACTGAAGAATGAGCATCTCATAAAAAAAATTAAAAATTAGAAATACCTGCTTAACTTTAAATACGAATTTCTAATACAGAGCCAAAACCGTAAATTGCTTTCTTTGCTGATTGTTCTATTATTATTCTATATTGTATTGTATGAGCCAATATTGATATATATTTCCTTGACTTTTTTTTTCCAAACACAATGAGAAAGAAAGCAAAGAATAGTCGTTTTCTTGATTGGTCGAGAGGATGGGGATGAGAGTTGAAATTCAACTTTGAATCATCATCATACACTTATAATAATTTTTAAAATTTTTATAAATAAATTAAATTTTATTTTTTATTAATTTAGTATATATTAAAATAATATGAATCATCATTGTAATTATATTTATGAAATTAAAAAAAATTAAATTATTAGTATATCCGATTATTTTTATTATTTTTGTTATTATTATTATTATTAAAAGCATTAAACGATGATATTTTTAGAAAATTTTTAGTATAAGGGAACATGGGCCGCTTCTTCTTTTAAACTTTGTAGTCCTCCAGCTTATAAATATAAATAAAAAAATGACATCCAATTCCGCGTGAAGGTAGGGCCCACAGCCCACCGCCTCTCTTCCCTTGAAACTTCCGATGATAGTGACTGTTGTGCCAAGCCCCAGCCCACCCCATCTCATCTCCTCTTGGGAAACTTGCACTTGGATTCAGTATTATCGAACCAAATTAATGGTAGTGACTTCCATTAAAATAAATATCATTTAGTGTAATATGTGCAACTTATATATATTTTCAAGGGGGTTGTACACATAAAATTTATGTATGAAAATTAAGAACAGAAATAGTGTTAAAATTTATTTTATTAAATTAAAATGAGGTATAATTTTCTGTATGATATTTTTATACAATAAAATAATTCTTTGATTCAATTCTTTACAAGTAAAAATGATCAAAAGTTTGAGAGCTTGATCTTGAATAAAATGAGTAGCAGATTTTTCAAAATGGTGTATGCCAATTGCCACATGTTTTATTGTTAGAATATTTTCATAGGATTCAAATTTTGACAGTTTCAAAATATATATATATATATATATAAGAAAAACCTTGAGTGACTCTTTTATTGGTAAAATCTTGATCATGAATTAGGCAAAAAAAAAATTTCAAAGGAAAGATCAAATGCGTATAATTCCTTGATTGGTTGCTTTGAATTTGAGATGACTTGAATAATTTTTAAAGAAATAATTACAAAGATATTTTGTTCCTCTGTATACTGGTTGGATTTAAAGTGATTTGATAAAGAGATGACAGTAAATTTTTTAGTTTTAGAATTTGCAAGGTAGATTTTATTTTCTTTGGAATTGATCTGGAATGCCTTGAATAAACTCTCTAATTATATGTGATACTATGCGAGAGAGTTTAAAAAAATTTAACCACTTCAATTTTATCTTTAATTATTTTAAATTAATTAAAGATAATGAAGATCACTCATGGATAAAATTTAATTGAATGAATCTTAGATTGACCAAACAATGTGTTTTCATCTTGAGTTATCAAGTAAGTTAGATTAATCTTCAATTAATTTACTTAACCGATTTAATATTAAATTTAATTGATTAAAATATTTTATCAAATTTTCGATATCTACAAATGTTCTACGTCAACACATGGAGGAATCTATACTTGTCGTACAATGAAGTCGGATCTCGAAATCATATAAAAAAAAAAACTTTTAACGACTTGTTCCAATTTTTTAGCACTTGAATTGGTGCTAAACTTGGATGGTAATTTGATTAGAGCTTGAATTCTATACCCTTATAAATTTAGTTGGCCAAGAAATGATGAATGGTAGCCACGTTTATGGTTTACTGAGATCTTGAGAAAACTTGGATTTGCCTAATTCAACTTAATTTGGTATACTTAAACTTTTACTACAAGTGATTGCACTTTTATAAATATTTGATTTTGGTTATTAATATTTTATTATTTTAAATTTTTCTAAGGTTATCAGTGTTAAGGTTAAGTCAGGATAAGCAACAAAGTTATTTTATTAAAAATTGTTTCATAGAACAATTATTGATGGAATAACTCTTTTTTGAAATAACTGTTCATAGAACAACTATTCATGAAACAATTCTTTTATGGAACAATTACTTATGGAATATCTATTCATCGAACAACTTTTTCATGGAACAATTATTCATAGACAACTATTCATAAAACAACTCTTTAATAGAATAATTGTTCACAAAATAATTATTCAAAAAACAACTCTTTCATAGGATAACTATTCATGGAATAACTTTTTTAAGGAATAACACCAATATCTTTACCAAAAGTTGCTTCACTAACAATTGTTCTACAAAATGTGCTTCACCGAAAAAAATAAGTGAAAATAACCCCATAATGTGGCATGATTCTTGGGCTAATTCCATTATTGGAATGTTGCAAAGAGATTGGCTTGGTGAATCAGATATGGAGATAGTTAAAAGGATCTCTTAACTTTTTTTTAAAGTATGAGTGCTACCCCATTTCTTTCAGAGCAGACGTAAACTTTTATGTTTATTATAACTATAACTAAAAGCTAATTAAACTTTTATTAAACAATACATTAACATTTTTTATAACAGTCAATTCCCTTATTATTCACCATTATTTTATTCAATGCTCATGTTATGTAACTCGTATTTTGGATACCTATATATAAGAGCTCCCACAACTTATTTTGAGTATTTTTAAAGATTTTTATAAATTCACTCAATCCTCTCTCAAATTCTCTTTGAAATTCTATCTTCTTAAATCTTTTTTTTAGCTTTATTCTTTTCCCTACTCAACCTTGCTTCATTACCATCCACCACCTATTATTGCACTAAAAATTTTAGGGTCTGCTTTAATCTTTTTGTCTATCATTTTCTGGCACATCCTATTATATTTGTTTGCAATGTTTCTTCACATCATGAAAGAACCCTTTTACACACTTAACTAAATCTCTTATTAGTTGCAAGATAATACTAAAAAACAACTTTATTCTACGGTAGAGAATCAAGACTTTGTTTTTTATGAGTTTGACTTAGCTTGGATTTAACCAATAAGAAAATGTAATGTATTGAATCAAAGTGTTTCACGATGCAATATAGCCAACCCTATAAACATGCATTGCTTTTGAGTCTTGTTTGACAAAAATACAAACCTAGCAAAACTTTTTTTTTTTATTGCAGCATGCCTTTGACAACTTTGCTTAGAAGCTAAAGTTCATGGAGGCTAAAGAATAGCAACATGATTGAAAGCTAAAGGACAATACTTTTTTTTATCCAAACCTAGCTCAATACCATTTTATAATGTTCCCCATTTCACATTTATATCTCATGAATCGATTGTAAGACCAGTTAGGGCATCATATGCTTGTTAGGAAATATCATTCGCTATATGAAACAAGACTTTTTTGCCCTTTAGTTGATATCAAAAAGCCTATTCAAAATTCTTATTGCATCTAAGCCATTTTCTCACAGATCACTTTGATGGCTCATTTTTAAGCCAATTATCATAACGTCTAGATTCATGAATCTATCCATTAAACATAAAAATTATGGAATCGTCATCAACTTTTTTTTTATCTATATACGATTGATCATCTATGTGAATTTATTATTTTTAAGGTTATTTTAAGTATAAATTAAGGGTTCTTAAAAAACAAAAAGGTTTTGGTCTATATCAACAGAGTTAAGGTTCGACAGTCAATTATGTATAAGAAAGGTATTAGCATCTCATTCTGCCTAAAATTTGTACCAAAATAATTACATATTATCTTACTTAAGCCTTAATTAAAGATGATTTTTATTATACAAATAAAAATAGATGATGCAAATATATTAATAACCATGAAAATATATTACTATACATGCAAATGCAAATATATTATTAGTCATGTAAATATATTAATCACGCAAAAATTTAAGTAATCATGCAATTAATAAATAATCATATAAATAAATATATAATCATCTAATTAAATATATAACCTTACAATTAAATTAAATTCATGTACAAATACTATGCAAAAATATATATTATAATTATTCATACAAAATATAAAATATTAAGCAATTATATGTTCATGTAAAAAATATCAAAATAAAAGCATGCAAATAAAATCATAAATAAAACATAAAAATAATAAATATCTCATCAAAGTTTTTTTAAAAATTTTTTATCAGATCAATCAGCACTTGAATAATAAATAATAAATAAATCAGAAAAATAAATCAGAAGAAAAAAATTCAGAAATAAAATCCAGACAAAAACAGGAAGTCTTACCAAATGAATCGGGTCACGCAGGTTGTGAATGGCTTCCACGTGGGTCTAAAGTTCCTTCCCTTGCCTTCTTCAAAACGGTGTGCTTCACAGCTAGCAAAAAAAAAATAAAAAATCAAAGCCCTCCTTTTTTTCCTGGAACTCTACTCTTTCTTAGTAGCTTGTTTCAACCTAGCTAAGAATTAGATGAACACCAAGCCCGAATCCCGACAGCTTGCCGACGTAACGTACACCACGTTTCGTCGCCTTCTGTTGTCGTTGACAAAAAATCACCAAAAGTTGTTTCCTCCTCTTCTGCGTTCTCCTATAAATCCCGAATGCAAAACCCAGCAGCAACCCGAACCTCGGCAACACCTCACAGCTACTGTCGCCGTCATAGCCTTCTTCCTTCCCTCTTTCTCTCGTTTTCCTTAAAGCTACCCAATACTGAAACTAAACCCAAAAGTCAGGCTAGTGTTGTCTCCTTCCCGTCGCCAGCAACTTAAAAAAGAAACCAAATATTTTTTAAGAACCCAAAAATTCCCAAAGACAAGTTCAAGCCAAGACCCAAAGCCTGAAGAACACTTTTGAATTTTGCTGTGTAATTGCTCTTATTCTGTGTATTGTGCTTGATGTTTGTATTATGGGTTTGGATCTCGGCTATAAATAGTTTTTTTTTGTGCCTGGTTCCTCTATTTCGAATTTTTGAATCACTCTTCTGTTCGATTGCAGATTGCTCACTAAGTCTTGCTCTAAATTGTCAATTGCTGGGTGTGGGTGCTTTCGGGTCTCGGCGGTTGCTAATTCTGCGCTTGAATTCTTGTTTTTTATTTGTTGCTTGAATGTTTTCTGCCAAATTTTCTGTGCTTTGTTTTCCTTGTTGATTGAGGCCCTTGGCTGTTGTGGCTGTTTGCTGATAATTGCTTCTGACTTGGGTTCTCACTGTCGCACTCTGCCTTTGCTTGGAATTGTTCTCAATTCCTTCTTCTTC